TTGTGGTTTGAGTGTAATTATTAATTTCTCAGTTCGTTTTTTATATTTATGACTGCTTTAAATTTGTTGAAAATCCCTACGTAGGATGGCAATCAAGCCTTTAATCCTGATGACATCGTTCCAGATCCGGAGGTACTTCGATAATCAATTATTCTGCATACAGGAGTGTATTATTTGACTTTTCAGTAGTTAATATTAGTGTACCGTCTTTTTCTTAGGTTGGCGCAGTTATCTGTGGTATTGATTATCAAATCAATTACAAAAAATTAGCAAAGGCTGTAAATTATTTAAAAACGAGTTCTGACTGCATTTTCTTGGTAACCAATGATGACGCAACATTTCCATATAGAAATTTTATTGGCCCTGGTAAAAATATTAGTTTCTCACGTTTATTTACATTCAGGAATTGTTTATATTCACTACTGAAAAAATTTAGGTACTGGTTCAATTGCTGCTTCATTAATCAAGGCATTGGATAGGAAACCAGATGCTATAATGGGAAAACCAAATAAACCAATGATGGACTGTATTACTCAAAAATTTAAATTAAATATCGAACGAACTTGCATGGTCGGTGATCGGTTAGAAACTGATATTCAATTTGGAATTAATGGTGGAATTACTACTTTATTTGTATTAACAGGTACATCATAATTTATAAACTTTATCACGGTTTTTTTTTTTTTTTTTGCAATTAAATTTTTATTTAAAAATTAGGTATTGCTGCGGAGAAGGATATTCTTGTTAGCGATGCTCCCATTATTCCTGATTATTACATGTCCAGTTTTGGTGATTTTGCCAAACTTCTCTGATACGTAGATATTATCTAAATTATAAATATAGATAATTATCGTTATATATATTTATTAGTCCTGATACGTAATAAAGTTAAAAGTATTTCTACGTACTAAGATAACGTTAACCATAAATGGTTTCAGAATAGAGTTCCTCGTGATTTGATATTCGTAGTACATACCAATTAAATTTTTTCTGATTTATTCGACTTAAAAATGTTCACCCCTTTTTCTTTTAAGGATTATGTACTCTATCTTACCTAATGAACTTGTTCTCAATATCCTTCGCTATGTTCTTAAAGGAACAAGGTGTGAATTAAACAATTATTGGTATTTAGAATAATAAATAATGAAAACGTTTAAAATTTAAAATTAATTACCAATTGCATTTGCGGCGTAAAAAAAAAAATAGTTTTGACGATTTTAAAAAGTTGCGAAGAACTTGTAAGCAATGGAATGACCTAATCGCTGTCGCAATTAACGATGAAATATCTCAATCTTTCGAACATGGTTGGAGAATTTGTGTAAATATTAGATTCAATTTACTCATGTCAAATATCTTTTATTTCTTTTCCATAATTTTTTTTTTCACTTTATTCTTTTCAGATATTTTCATCTTGCCAGCCACCAGGTCAAGATGAAGCCTACGAAATAAGTCATCCAACTTACAATAATTTAAAAGGGGAATTTGTATTTACCAAATTTCCTACCGATTATAAATCGATTCTTTATTGGCCTTTAGAAATTTGGTTAAATTATGATAAATTTTGCGTATCCTCCTTTTCAATTAAACATGATGATTATTCGATAAAAAAAGGAAATATTATTCAATATATTGATGAATTTTGGAATATTAGTGTAGAATTATTAGAAAAAGATTCTAAATTTAAAATCATTGATTGGAAAGTTAAGGACGAAAAGATTTTTAAGGCTTTAACTATCTATTTAAATGTTAGTTTAAATGTATAATTTTTTTTTTAATACTTAATACTTTTTAGTCATTATTATTTATTAGCAAATCGACAAAATTAGAAATATTTATTATAATGTAAGATTTAATCTAAATAACGATAAATCCACATATATTTTGAAATAATATTCTTTATTTTTAGTAATATACCAAATACCACAAGTTATTATTAACTGACTATATTATATTATGATGTAATTAAGTTAACTGTGCGATATTATTTACCAAAGTATATATTATAAAATATGAAATTATAGCTGTATCATGTTGTTAATAAATTTGTAACCATTTTTATCATAAGAAATTTTATTATTACTATTTTCTAAATAATTGATACTAAAAATTTTTAAAATTTTGTATACTTTTTATATATTGTACTGGTTTAAAATCATTAATACGTGCCAAGACTTTTGCTAAAACGCACCTATGGTGTTTTACACCCGTCTATACATTATTTCAAAAACTAGCTATTGTAGTGCACTGACCAAAGCATCCCTTTTTCAATATCCCCCCTTGCAAAGTACCCGGTGGACTTCCATTAATTAAATATAGTTTTTTTAGTAAAAAAAATTTTATACTTATTGTAAGTGCAGAATATGTATATGCGTGATCTTGCGGCACTGACCTGCTGCTGTATAATATACTCGGGTCTTTTGTAAGTTTTTGTTGGGTATTTTGTATTAGACCCGAGTCGTGCACTACGGTAATTAATCAGTGCGAGGTATTATAAGTAAAAATGTTCTACGACTCTAAAAACCACTAACCCTAATGTAAAAAAAAAGGTTCTATATACAAAACTTGGAAAAATCTAAAAAACACAATAAAAACATATAATAGGTGTAAAACACTATAAGTGCGTTTTAATAACAATTGATATTAAATATAATTTGTATATTTCAATATTTAAAGTATTCAAAACAATTGCTACCAATAATTTTAAGCCAGTATACAAAAAATATTAAAAAATTTTTTGTGTCAATTATCTGAAAAATTTAATAAGTTTAATCAAAAATTTTTATCAAAAAGGTTAAAAAAAATATGATTTGAAAATTTTAAAACTTAAGCAAATATTAACAATTTTTATTTAATTTTACCATTAAATGATTGTTTTAAAAAAAATTCTTATAAATTTGCAATCATTTAAAAACCTTCAATTAAATCTGTCGTGACAAAACTGGTGCGCCAACAGGTGCTACGTCATATTCAGTTACTGCGGATTAGAATAACATGAGATACTCATATTGTTATATAAATATTATAATCGTATATTATCGATCAGAATGACTAATAATGTAATCGGTTTCTCTTGGCAGCATTTATATAAATTCTTGCTCAACGTTTGAAGATAATCTAATAATAAATTTGACACGCATTGGTTTAATTGGACAAACTTTAATTGACTTGTTAAGTTAAATTACAGTAACACTACAGACATTTACATTTGATAAATACTAAGTACGGATCATGCGTGTACGCCAGATATATTTTAGAACACAGTACATGCTCAGAAATTATTTTTAGCATTCGGAAATCCTATGAGTCCTTACACATGGACACATTAATAAAATATTGGTATATTTTTATCAGCATTAAAACAAAATAATTTATCCACCAAAAAAATTGATCTTGCATGAATTTTTTTAATTCCCGATTTAAAAAAAAAAATAAATAAATAAATATATAAATATATATAAAAATAAATAGGGGAACTTTTCAATGACGCAAGATGATTATATTAATACTAAAGTAACATAAACTTAGAAGTCGCATGTATGTACGTACGTACGTACATACGCAGTGCTGTACATATACACTTTAATGTATAGCATACAAAGACAGAAAGATAGGTTTAATTAATGAAGACAACCGACCTTTGCAACTGTTTGCATAGAATTTATATAGGATTTTGACATCGGCCGACATATGCAAACATCGATTCGGTGATTATTATAAATTGTCCGGAGCTTATAATTTTATCTAAGCTTAGACAATTGACTTCTAATTTTAATAAGAAATCTTATCTTTATGGAATTATTATCTATATTTATATACTGAATTATGAATAGAAACAAATATTAAAGCGTGTAACACATACAAAGAAAAACTTGTTCGATCCAAATAAGTACATGTAGAAAGACAATAATTGAAATATTTTTTCATCATATTATATAATTTTATGTAAAAAAATGCAACTGTTACTACTGTTACATAAAATCTTAAAGAAAGCAATAAAGAATGAGACAAACTAATTATTTGAATATTTTAATCTCATCACTGCAAATTTACTATTGAAACCGAATTTCTGTGATTGAAGTTTAAATCGTCAATTTATAACAAAAATGATTTCAAAATTCTTCTTTGCACTATTTCTAATTTTTATAATTTTCCTGAACGTTACTATACGATCAAATCCAATCCCGGTAAATATCAAATCTTTAAATCGTACGTAAAGTAAATTTTAAGTTGTGTACAACGAATATGTGCTAATCCATTACGAATGATGCTAATGCTTTTTATTTACAGAATTATTAGTGAAAAATGAAGAAAACAGAGATTCGAGAATATTGGTAGCCAGGCAGCATATTATACAAACTCAAATTTCATATCAAACAATAATAGAAAATCCGTCGTCACCTTCTGCCATTGGAGCACCTACCACAACCACATCTTTAGTCATATATGCTACTTCAGCAACTGCATCTTTAATCATATCTACTACTTCAACTGCGCCTTTAGCCATTGTTACGACTGCATCTTTAGTCGGACCTGCTAGTGCAACTGCATCTTTAATCATATCTACTACTTCAACTGCGCCTTTATCCATTGTTACGACTGCATCTTTAGTCGGACCTGCTAGTGTAACTGCATCTTCAGTTGAGCCTGCTGCTACGACTGCACCTTCAGGGGAACCTGCTACTACAACTGCACCTTCAGAGGAACCTGCTGCTGCAACTGCACCTGCTACTACAACCGCACCTTCAGAGGAACCTACTGCTACAACAACTGCGTCTTCAGAGGAACCTGCTGCTACAACAACTGAGTCATCAGAGGAACCTGCTGCTACAACAACTGAGTCTTCAGAGGAACCTGCTGCTACAACAGCATCTTCAGAGGAACCTGCTGCTACTGAAGATTGTGGTGAATGTTGAAAAACTTTAAAGAATAAAGCGTCGAAAGCATCGATTATATAAATCTAATCATTATATTTTGTTTATGTAATGAACCGAAATAACAATGTAAGATATAAAATATAAATTTATAAATAGCATATATTGTAAACTAGAAACTTTCTGTATCAAAAACATGAAATTTGCTGTATACAATTTTGAAGATAATTCAACACAAACATTATATGTCATAAGGGAGGGAATATATGTAACTACAGTATAACCTGACAAACCCGATCCTTTTAAAACCGATAACTTGTCAAAATTGATAAAAAATTAATCCACTAACTCCATTTCTAACATAGTAATTAAACCCTTTAAATCTGATAGCCTTTTAAAATTGATACAAAAATTTGTCCATAATGTGTATCAGTTTTGAGAGGGTATACTGTAGTTACATAATGTATTTCATTTACTTCATTGAAAATTGTTGGTAAACTTATGGTAAAATTTACTTTTGCTAAGAATTTGTACCATTTGCAAACTTTGAGCAAATCTGAAAAAATCATACTGCGAACTTTTTAATAAAGTGTAAAGCAAAAATTTCAAGTTATATAAAAAGTTTTTAACCATGAAGTTTTTTTAGTCCAAAGCGAAGCACTAGTCTCTTCTGTTCACATTAGCTCAAAAGTTGGTTACAAGGTTATGAGAGAATTAGTAAAGAAAACACCCGTTTTTCTCATAACTTATAATAAATTACGAACATAGCGAAAATAGTAAATAAATACTTATTTACAAATTTAACCAACATAATTGATAATCTTAGTTGATTAGACCTTTTTAGGCTAATATTCGGGAGTTTACTTTTAATTTAAACCTTTAAAGTTCCATAAAATTTCCGAGATAAAATTTAAGTACATTTTAATCTGCCCATTACGTTATCAATCAAAAGTAGGTTGAAAAACCTACGCAAATCTTGAAATTGTTAGTTAATTTTGATTGGATCATTTTTTGGTCACTAATACTAAACCGATAAACCCGGTTTAGTGATGGCACTAGGTCACTCGCAGGCCGCGGTGGATAGGTGACTCGAGTTTTAACAACCCCGGCGAAAATGGGTGGTCAACCCACAGAGTTTTAAATGATCTATATGACTTTTATAACCTTCCATGGGTCGTTTGGTCATACAAATGACCTCATGATGTTTTTTTAATATAGTAAGATCACAATAAAAAAAATTTTTGCTAGCATTTAATATAACCAGTATGACTTAAAATAAAAGTTATGCCATAGTTAGTTATGAAATAACGAGGGTAAAATCTTTGACCAAATAATGTGATCATACTAATCATATCCGATATACTTCATGGGGAAATCAAATGTATGATTAAGTGAATATTGGTAACGAGTACAGTATCACTGACAAACGTCTGTTCTACTTTCCAATCAGACAATCCTGATGTGGTTTGTTACGTGATACTCTGCGATATTCGATTTTGAGTTTATTTATTTATTATTTACTTATTTATTAATTTTTTATTTATTTATTTATTTATTTTTTAAATTTTATTTTTTATTTATCTTTTTATTTTTTATTTTTTTTAAAAAAAAAGCAGAACCCGAGCTTGTAGGCAGCATTGTTTGCTGACTAGAGTAGGTAGACTGCACTATTGCAGCTGCTCGTATGCTAATAATTTTCGTTGGATAAACTTCATGCACTTCAGTCTTTAGTGAGTGAATGAAGCTTCGTGATCAATATGAATAATTCTAACACGATGTATCAAGTTGGCTATTGCGATTAGTTTGGAATTGGTGTCAAAATGGATAAAGCATTTACATATATTTCATTTCATAATTTAATTTTAAAATTATTAATTCTTCTGAGGATAAGTATAATAAAAATCTTTTTATTGCAATTAGTAATGGGACCTCTTGAATTATTAATAATTATTATTAACATTTGGTCGAGTTATTAACTAAAACCAATTAATAATGTGAGCGCAGTAAATCAATCTAAAAAATGCTATTTAATACATTGATTATAAAAATATATTCAAAAATAAATTATCTACGTGTTGGAATAAAATCAAAAATATCTATGTTTAGGAATATTTCTTCGTTATTTATGTATATATTTGCTATTTAATTTTTCAGAATTCGGAATTTAAAATTTGATTTCATTACGATTTTTGGTGATGATAGAATGATTGAAATTATTAATGATTAATAATATTAATAACTAATTATTAATTTTCTATTATTAACTAAAAACTCGAAGGTCCCACCAATATTTGCAATGATTCATGATAATTTCTATTTAATATAACAATCGGTTTAGCACATAGGTATAAAGAATATTATTAATCTAAGTATATATTTATTAAAATAAGCTATTCATGAAATTCATTTATAGTCACACTCTTATACGCAGTCATAAAAAAAATTCATTTGATGTACATATATGGAAGGTACTTATAGGAGAGTGCGACTATATTTCTTTAATTTAGTGTTGTCCATATGTATGCACACGTTTTTAGGAAAAACATACATATAGAATGTGCACTTAAGAAGAGTGATTTACATACAAGGTTACATAAATTACAAATGATATGTGAAGTTGGGATGATATTTCATCTATATACTAATTATCGCTCTTTTCGATTTAGTTAGATCGATGTTTAATGATGAAATTTGTAGATTTTTTTTGTCTGTGAATCTGTGAATCTCATATATTATAAATCCTGCATATAATAATATTTGGGTTAGCAGTTTATTCTGTTATGATAATATACAACTAACAATTACAAATAATTATTATATGCGGATATAAGCATATATGGGACTCATGGATTCACGGATTCATGGGACTCACGTACAAAAATAATAATAATAATAATCTACAAAATTCATCGATCCAACTAAATCGAAAAGTGCTAGAATCAATCTATGTCAAAAGTCACAATAAAATAAATGGTATAGATTTTATACATATATTGATAACTACCAACAAAATATTAGTATTCAAAATCGATTTTTTTTCTCGTCATGTGATTATTATTACGTAGTGAATTTTTTTTAATTAATAAAGATTTTTAAATATTGTATATAAAATTTCAACATAAAAATGAATTTTATCATCACGGCGAATTTATGAAATTTAGCTAAAATTTGGTCACCAAATCCGAATATTTTGTCCAAAATTAAACTTTAGTTACAAAATTACATATTAAAAATTCAATACCAAACCCCGAAAACTTTTTTGAACCTCTAATCTAGACTGATAACGCGTCTAACCTATCTTCCCCACCTTTGTTAGACATATAACATCGCACCCTAACCCTAGGTTGGCCAATGGACTATGTCCATTGACAATTTATTCAGAACCCATCATAGTCCATTGCCAACCCTGGTCCTAATCGGTGAAACATTGATAAATTCGCCGCAATGTTATAAATTATCCCATGTTAACAAAAATTTAAAACTGTAACTTTTTTTTTACAACATTATAGTGCTTTTATTTGCCGCAAACGGTAGAAAATTGTTAGTACGTGGATCAATTTTTGAATATCTATTTTACTGATCTATGCAAAACTACTGACATAAATTTTGCTGATCTATGCAAACCTACTGACATAAATTTGATTAATTAGTAGATATACAAAATACCTATGGTGAAGCGCTCTTATAGAAGCGAAAGTGCATATATAGACGGTGCACTTATGAAGGGTCGGCTGTGATTCACCGACAAATTCATTTTATGGACAATTTATTCTACCAACAAATTCATTTTATGGGCAATTTGTTTTACCGAACAAGTTCATTCTACCAACAGCATATTCCATAAACGGCTTGTTTCGTTATTATGGGGATCTCCTACCAGTTTGATTACAAACATAATGCAAGTTACATAATCATTAATGAATTTTTTTTCTGGTGATTTTCCGACTTACTACGTATTAGATTTTCCGATTTCAGATTTGAAAATATAAATATTTCAAGAGAAATAAAAATTTGAGCGATTATAATAATTTAATGGAGTGTAAACTGTTTATGCTTTATGAAGCATATATTCAAAATCATTTACCGGTTTTAATTTGCGTCCATAATGTTATAAATTTATAATTTTTTTATATATCATATGTAAAAATGTAATGTTGATAAAATACTTCAGGAGAAATAAAAACTTAAGCAATGTCACTTTTTATAATAATTTAATAGGCGGAAAATCCAATACTGTAGTAAGTCGGAAAATCACTAGTAAAAAATTCATGGTCTTCACCGTGATCAAACCGGCCAGTTATTCTAATATATCGTGCGCATCGGGTTTATAGTTTTTACATAATTAAATAAGTGCAAGCACATACTGTGCCATCTGACACAAGGATTCATCTCATATATATTTGGTGCTGCAAAAGGAGAGAAATTAATTTTTTTCAATTTTCTTTACGTAGAATAAGTCAAGATCATTTAAAATCTTTCAATTTTGATTTATCGAAGACATTTTTTGGTTGTTTTTTTTTCTTGTTAATTTCCCTCTTTTTTTGCAACACTCAACCCAATATAACTGGATTTTTTTAAAAAAAACTCATCGCGTTTTTATTTAATCAAAAGAATGACGAAACCTCTGATTTTAATCATAATTTTATTTGTCAATTTTATTTTGGTTAGTTCTGAAAACGACATACATGTTTTCAATGACCCTGAAGTTACACATCCAACCGATGAAGCAGTTGCAGACATTTTTGATTTAATGATTGTTATCATTCTTTATTTTATATCCGAAAAAATTCCTTTAGGAATTGCAGCGGCAATTTTAAATTTTATGTCACAGCTTTTTGCGTCTGCATTATCTTATTATTTTATTATAAGGGCATATAAAACAACAAGCGAATATTTTTTTATTCAATATCTTATCACATTTTCAGTTCTTACATTGTTTATTATTCCTAATAGTTTTATTGGTTTGTACCGTGCAATAGTTGCAATAACACGTTTACTTTATAAAAATGAGTCCAAACAGAACATCATGAAGGAGTTTGAGCAGAAGTTCAAAAAGGGCCAATTGAACTATGCGTATTATTCTTTTTTTGTTCAATTCACCCTATATATTTTTTTATTTATTGCACATTTGATATTTTTTATTATAGCTTATTATCACAATTATGTTAATGGTTTAGATTATTGGGTTGTATTACTGCCCTCACTTATTTTTATAATGTTTACAATAATTGAAACAATTTGTGCACTGATTTATGAAAATGACGAAGTAACGGAACTAAAAAATTTAGAAAAACGTGTAAATGCATTAGAAAATTTAGAAAAACATTTATATATATTAAAATCTCCACAAGAAACTTAAGAAAAATGCGATCCTTATATAAAGTGCATTAAAAAATTTTATGATCGAATTAAAAATAGAAGAATTATAGGTACGTTAAATTAGTCTATCTAATAGTCTATTTGATTTATATTTATTTTATTTTTATTAATCAATATATATATGTTTATATTTTAATAGTAAAAGTAATTGGAGTATGCTCACATTTTTTATTTTGTCCTACTGCATTGTGGATAAAAATTTACCTTACAAATGTAGCTATTTATGTCACATTGACTGAAAAGTTAGAAGAAAAAATTATTATTTTATTGAAAAAAGTTTAATTATGCATCACTAAAACATATAAATTAACAACCTTAATCTGCTTGCAATTAACTACTACATAATTACTTGGTAGCAGCAATTTACTGTAAAGTTACTATATGTTAGCAATGCTACCACTTTAATAATTTTATTATAATTTTAAAGGTTTAAATTTAGTATATAATTATTTTATAAAGGTTTAAATTTAGTGTATAATTATTTTATTATTATTATAATTTTACTATATATGTTAGCAATACGTACTACTTAATTTTATAAGTTTATTAAATTAATATATGGCACAGTTAAATAATTTAGTGTAACTCGTGATCTATTTGATCAAATTAAATCATTTTTTACAGGATCCCTAAATTTCCGGGTCAGAATGCATCGGAGTTAGGGTTAGCTATACTAGTTAGCAGGAGCTACAGTACGTGAGCACAGGGTCACATCACTGGGTATTATGGCGCACCAGCAATATCTCAAGATCTAGTGATCAGAATCGGATAATTTTACCAACAATCGATTCGCCTCAATGATACGAATTGAATGACACAAAAATCGCACAATATTGATTCTTAAGATCATATTATTTTAAATATTATAAAATGTGCATAGTATTTTCACGGTCAATATTCTAGATACGTTGTGCGTGGGTCACGTTAAAAGAATATTGCCATTAAAGGGAACATTGGAACAGTAAAAAAAAAAAAACCTTAATATGAAATATGTAAATGAATAAGTACTTGTCGCGTTTAGAAAGTTTCGCGTATATCTCGTAATCACGTGTATGACCGATTGTATCACGGGTCAGTAAAGATCGGGATCATTCGGAAATTAAGTATAATGATAAAATGCGTAATTAAAAAATAGTCAAATACCGTATGATAGATTATGAGGTGATTGAAAATAGTTAAAAATTAAATTAGGAAAAGTCAAAGAGTCATGAGGACGAAATTATGATGTAATTGATTTAAAGTCTAATGTAAGGTATATAAGAAATGAAGCGAAGTAATAATAAAGATTTACCTTTTCGCTTCCATAAAATAAAGATTGAAAAACCGTTAAACCCGCTTTGGCTTGAGTAGGTGGTGTGTTGCATTGTTTCGTCGGCTGAGATCCACGTAATCAGTGAGGGCTACGACAAGTATTAAGTGTAAATTTGGCCTAACTAGTGATCTATCGACCCAAATTGGTGATTTTTATACCATTCGATTCATCTCTCGAATGGTACCAAAATCATTTAATTTTGATCGTAGGCTCGCGAACTATTAACGATCGTATGCGACACAAAACTAAAAGAGTTATACGTATCTTGTGGAAATTGAACGATTTTACCACCAATCAATTCGTCTCACTGAGATGAATCGATTGGTGCCAAAATCGTGCAATTCGGATCAGTGGATCACGAGATATTGCAATTGTGCCATAATACCAATACTCATGTTCTGGCTAATTTTATTAAGGCTCTAGTAATAATGGTAATAAGTAGCAACATTGTCGCGCTAATCCAGAAACGGATGAATGTAAGCGAAATATTGAATAATTATTATATCCGTAATTTAAACAAAAAATATAGTAATTTATATAGTTATCTCAACGTTTTTAGGAATTTGCTGCAACTTTAGAGAAGACTCTGTCTGGTTTTGTGACTGAAGGTCAATAAATTCATTGAATGGTTAATTTTTAGCATATCTCATTTTTCGGAATTATACCGATTCCATCTTTTGGAATATTTTAGCATCTTCGGAATTATCTTTCAGAATTATAACGAAGGCGACTATCTACATTACGATCATACCATATTGCTCCTCTCGGTTGCAGGGTAAAATCCCGCGTGGAATACGTAGATAATCAATCAACTGGGTTTCAAAATTCTCTTATTTTCGGGATATTGCTAAATGGCACTCAAAATTTATCGGAATATTTCGGGTCTGCTACATCACAAAGTTGCTTTTATGTAAATATTTTATTTTAAAATTATACATAGGTCATATACAATTTATACATAAAATATAATTATAAATAATATTTATTTAATAATTATCTCAAATTTAGCAAATTTATCGCTCTTTTCAATTTACTGTGATCATCAAATTTCGTAGATCACACATCACTGAGAATCTGGAAATCTGGAAAT